TAATTTTACATAAGGGAAGTTGTCGAGATAAAAGTTGAAGCCATCACGTTTATCATAAAATTTGTTGTTAGCTATCTATTAACGTTTTTTAAGTAAAACATTAATATTCACATAAAATCAGATTATCAGATTTTGTGAAATCTGGGATATATTTAGTCGACATAAGAATTGGGGGTAATTAAGTAATTGGAGTAATTTTATAGATGAATTGCTCTCTGAATCTCACCTGAATTTAATCATGACTCCCACGGCGACAACCAGACAGGTTAGGGAAATGGAATACCCGATAAAATTGAGTTTGTCTATCCCCGGAAGGTGATGCTTTAATAAAGACAACATTAAATCAAAACAGGAAATTATAATTGATGAAATAAGAGATTATTTAATATGAAATCTGACCCAAAGATACCTAGGGCATCATTTTATTAACCACAGGACACAACTCCATAGTTCAGTTAACTGAGAGTTGACAGGTCGACTGAAATGTGACTGAATCGTAGGACTATGCGATTCACTTACCCTTCCAGACCTTACGATTGTCATGCAAATGACCGAATAGTGTACAATCATCAAGCAATATCATGTAAGGCCACTTGCTAAAGCTCAACAACGCGTTCATGAAAATGCGCCATCGCGCTTGCACACAACACACTGTCAAACTAACACGAGTTCGCACAACACGCTGTCGCACTAAGACACAACACGCCGTCGCAAAATATGTGTTAGCGGGAGAGCGTGTTTTGCGAATTCGTGTTAGTGTGACAATGTGTTGTGTGTTTGCGTGATAGCATGTTGTGCAAACTTGTGTAAATGTGACAGCGTGTTGTGTGTTGGCGCGACAGCGTGTTACATGTATGTAAACTCGTGTTAGCGTGACAGCGTGCTCTGTGTTGGCGCGAAGGCGTATTTTTCTGAACGCGTTGTTGAGCTTTAGCTAATGGCTCTATCCGGACACCATACTTTAGAATTAATGACAACACTCTCTTTCGCATGCGCTTGGCTTCAATGAATAAAACTGAGGCTGTTTTTCACCCGTACGCTTTAGAATAGCATACAAATTTGTGCCCAATGTGGCTGAAAATTGTTTTCAAATTTTGAGTGTCGTTTTCTTTTTATAAGGTCAAAGATTATTGATCATGTATGGCAAACATGTGGGACAGAGGGGCACAGATACACAGAGGAAAATATAAAATTTAAATACATTTTGCAATATATGAAGCTCATTTATAATCAATATGCATTGGTTATAAAGAAATGGCCGGGGCAGAGGAAACTATTACCACAAGAGACACCGGAGGGTCGTTCGTGTGTTGGCACTCTGTGAAGTCCGTCCATGTTTGATTGTAGTAAGGGTTTACGTACCATTGGCCATTTGGTAAACACTCACGCCGAGCTTTTGCTGAAGAGGAATAAAAGAATATGAAGTAAAAATAATATTTTTAGTAGTATGTCGATAAGTTTCTTTACATAGGTTAAAATTTGCGTCAAAGCGTTTATCCATAAAATCATTGGGACAGTAAACGGTTGAATCATCATCATTGAAAGAGACGATCACAATTCAAATAAAATACGTGATCCATGATTTGTTGATATATGTTAAATAAGTTAACTTTTCTTATTTTTATTTCATATTTAGGAATATTAAATGTTGATCTAAAAGCCCGGCCATTTGTTTTTCTGAGCCTCACGCAGCGGACTGAAGTTTTGTCACGTGTCACGGTGATGGACATGTAGCTGTGTTCATAAAAAAAAAGAACATTCGAAATATCAGTTGATGTTGTGAATGAAAGAACAAAATAGAACTTGTCGATTTATCCGTTCATTTTCCTGTATGATTGAAAAAGTACATTCTGATTTATTTCCATATACAGTTTTAACATAGTGCAGTTAATGAACAACGTTCGAGTGGAATAAACAGAATTGACATCTATAATTCCTTCTCTGGCGGGTTATACATACTAGATTAAACCATATTGGAGAATTTCAGGGCCCTTATAACACGGTGCATATTCATATAATTAAAATGGCAAATTTATGCCTTCGTTTACTTACTTACCTCGTGTGTCGAAGTTGTTAATGTAGTTAGGGCAGTTTTGTTCAGCCACAGTTCCCGCCCTTGTGTCGGGCCAGCAGACGACATTATCGAAGGTTTGATTGCAGTAAGAACCTGTGGTAGTCAGGTGATAAATATCAAATCAAACAGGAAACATTGATGTAAGGAACATACCAATTTTATGCAAAATGTTCTCCAAGATTCAAATTGTATTTATTTTAAAACAGCACTGATATTCGTTCTCTTTGGTAATTTTTTGACTAGAATGAATTTTAAACAAAAAATAGACGGGAGTTTTTTGCACTCTGATTTCAAGTAGACCAGAAAATTTCACCTACAATTTGATTAAAAGACAACCATGTTTCCTTAAACTTTTTTTTCAAAAAAAAAGGGGGGGGGAACTTACCAACTACATGTACATATATTTTTCATCCGACTGATCATTGCAATTTAAAAGCATTTAAAAAACATAAATGTATCTCGACAATTAATAAAACTGAGAATGAACATTGATTTTAAAAGTTAAATACAGATTTTCATAAAATCAATTTTAAATAGTGCGCATTTTGGGCTTGCCAACGAACGTCAACAAAAAACATATTGAGTCTAGAGTTGCTTATGATCGATTGACCTATAAATCACCTTAAGAGAAGGCTTATATTTAATGGCGAGGTTATTAATCATTTCTTGAGCTGTTATCCTCTATATTATGGGCAATTTGATACAAGTACGTAACATGAATCTCTCAGCCGGCGTAAAGCAGCTCTCGATGAATTTTGAAAGCATGAATCTTTGATTGAATTGCCAGAACGTCGGTAACGTGAACATGTATTGACGGGGTGAATGGCTCGGACTAATTACCTGATATCGCTGTATTGGGGATCTTCCTTGTCGTAAGACATGTCTCCTTCGCCTTCAATAGAAGAACCAGTTGTTTCTCGTAACTTAGTTTAACAATGTACACCTTCTGTAAAAAAAAAAAAATCATACATATTTTGAAGTTGTGATTTTTGATTTCCATATAAACTATCCCTTTTGTGCACTCGAAATAAAATACATCATAGAATGGACATGTCTGCTTCATGCTTTTATATTTTTACTAGAGATAGATATTTGCAAACTAAAACAACAAATTATGATGACTTTAATTCTCTAAAGTAATCTTCCCTAATCTATATAATACCAATATCATCTGTATATGGAGTTCACATCTCTCAACTGATTCGATAACAAAAGCATGTTTTTTTTCCTAAAATAGGTAAACTATTGCAAAAGAAGCTGATGATACATGGCTACCAGCAATCAAATTAACTTTTAAGTCAGTCTCTCATACAATTTCAATTATTGTGCCATTATTTCACATGGGATTTTCTTCAGGTTTCTCCTTTACTTATCACCAAAAGGAGTAAATGTGGCGAATGTGATCGACAGGGGATGATAAATCCTCTAAGGCACCTGATCCCAGCACTGCTTAGATTGATCACTGCTTTATATATTTTATAAATAAAATCATTGTTTGGTAAAAATTTATTAGATTTTATTAGATCCGTCTTGACACAGATATTCTTTTGAAAAAAAAAAGATAACCGGTAATAAAAATTAGCTCTGATTCTTAGGTTGGTCTTGAGAAACGACTTTATATCTCTCTAGCGTTGTTAAGTTAGCCACATTAACCATTCATTGTTTTATATTTACATTTGCAAATATCTTTCTTAGATGAACCTTTTGAAGAGGAAATACGTTCAATTCTGTGTGAATTTCATTTGGGGGTCAGAGGTCATAGCGCGACCGGTTCACAGAGCGATGTGATATTTTGACCAAACAACTTCTAGGTCATTGCGCGTCACTACATAGCACATCGTTCGGAAACCCACGGGTGATCTCGTCTAAAGTTACTTATCACCCGTGGGTTTCCGACGATGTGATAAGTAAAGACGAGATCACCCGTGGTTTTCCGACGATGTACATAGCAATACGTTGGACCGTTCGTGTAATAAAAACAATTTAACTCGAGATGAATTCTTTTCAAATGTAAATATAACATAATAAGTAATAAACATCAATGTTTAAAAGTTCACTGGGAAATGAACTTTTAGTTGGTAAGTGATCAAATCTACTGAGAAGCCCTTCGGGCTTCACAGGATTTGATCAGGTGACCAACTAAAAGTTCATTTCCCAGAGAACTTTTTCAAATTGTTGTTTATTTCTTAAATACTTCCAAAATGTTTATTTCCTTCCCCACTCTCTCTCTAAATAAAGAAATCAGTCTTTACACTATTTCCAAAACTTCTCTCTCTCTCTCCGAAATGAAATCTTAAAATACGAAGTCGGGCGTAATGTTTAACATCTGGAAATAAGTGTACACCTGAAACTGAGCTGAGTATTATCCCAATCTGAAAAGATTTACGAACTCTTACTTTTTTCTGAGATAATCTGTACAATAGATATAAGTGTCAAAAGGCACAGAATATCAATTTTTCTCGTACACCGTACATGTTCAGGATAAAGACAATAATAAATAGTTTCGTTTCCCTGTATATTAATTTAAGGAGTCCTGGTACAAAAAAATAAGTAAACTTCTCTATTCTCTTTACCGTTTACTATTAGAGTCATTTGTTTTTCACTGGTATACCTTTTTCGTCATTAATTCTTACAGAGGTATAAAAATCAGCCTCTTTATATTTAAACTTTAAACCTCTTTTTCCTTTTCTGACATGCATTTTCCCGTAGTAGTATATGAATAATGCTGTGTTACCCTTGATTCCTTTCTCTCCGCTTATTTGTTCTGTGTAATGTTGAAGCTTATCCCCCCCCCCCCCCCCCCTCTGAGAGCACAGGAACAAACCCAAGGGAACAAATCAAGACAATATATAATTCTAACAGATTGTTTCCCTTTCGTGTTAAGTTTACTTCTTGACAATAAGTTGCGTGTTTGCAACTTTCCTTTTTTGTGTGTGTAAAAAAAGAAATCTACATGTATTTTTCCCAATTAGATATTGAAAGTACAATGAGAGGAAAATACACATATCAAATAAAAACCAATCTGACTACTAGTAATTTAAAGTGCATATAATTAAAATTGTAATTAGCAATTCTTATAAACCATCGCATACGATCTTTGAAAAGATGCTAAAATCCTAAAATTATTGAAAATTGAAATTGGAGATTGTTTATTTGCAGGAATTCCTTTTCTACATCATGAATGAAAATTATTCTGAGAAAATCCGTGTCGTATATGAAATTATCGAATCCAGTGTGGCAGTTTCAATCAAGTCAAAATCACAATATTTAGTACTACAATGCATTTTAGTACATATGTACGAGAATTATAGAATTCAGACATTCCTTTTGCTCATGGAGATAGAGAGACAGAATAACCAACTATACGATAGTTTTAAATTAAATTGTTTAACATGATAAAGCAAAGACTTCATACAGATTTTATGTCGTAAAAAAGAGGGTATAGTAAATCTGGGGTTTTCATAAATCTCCAGAAATTGAAAGACTGCATTTATCCTTTTGTAAAAATACTCTTGGTGTTAAGCGCAATGCATGTACTTATATGATTTATAGAGAATTGGGACGATATCCACTTATTATTCAAAGAAAACTAAGAATCATGAAGTTCTGGTGTAAATTATTAAAAACAGAAAACTGCATTTTAAAAGCTTCATACGAGTACCTGCGACATGATGCAGAGAATGGGCCGGGAACAAGCACAAATATAAATTGGGCGCGTGACGTAAAGCTTGAATTATTTAGGTTGGGTCTGGGAAAATTTTGGATGAATCAACAAGTAATAAACTCTGCTAATTTTATGCATATATATAAAAACAGAATACTAGATATACACTTCCAAGAATGCAATGCATTTATGGATAATTCGTCAAAATGTTTTTTATATAAGCACATTGTCCAACCCGATTTCTGTAAAATGCAACCTTATTTAACAAAACCGTTACAAAGTAATTTAAAAAAGCATATTTCTCGCATCAGACTTTCATCGCACTATTTAAACATAGAATGCGGAAGGTACCAAGGCAAGAGCAGAAATGATAGAATATGCGATGTTTGTGATAGTCATCAAATAGAAGATGAATTTCATTTCATTCTCCAATGTCCTAGATACCTAAATCTAAGAAAGAAATATATAAATGAATATTATTACAAATCGCCAAGTACATTTAAATTAATCCAGTTATTAGGTACAAACCGCATATCTACCTTGGTTGGTCTAGGGAAATATATTCAACATGCTCTAATATTACGTAATGAATATTTATCAGGTTGACATATACATATAAGTTCTCTATATTTTTGTCTGTATATCAAAATAGCATTGTTGTATATTGTACTCTAACTTTGAATAATTCTGTACTGATAATTTCAAAATCATTATAATTGTATTTTATAAATGATAATTGGAACTGTGGGACTGAGGAACACTTGACCTGGGGTTTCACCCCCCAGTTTAGACTCTTTGAGAGTCGATTGTATTATATGTTTTTTAAATGTACAATTTTCATTTTGTAAAATGATGGGCTGTATTGCCCAAAGTTGTATCCTGAAATAAACTTATATATATCAAAAACATGAGTAACTGTATCTATATCTATTGATAAATCGCGCAGCTTGCCATGACTCTATATAGAGTAGCCATGAAGGTCATAAACGGATTTATCTTTTTATAGGTTTAGATTCTACACATGTTTTAAGTTATTTTTGTGCAAACAATCAATCTTTATCTTTGATTAGATTAATCATAGGGCATAAAATTTAAAAATAGCTCTGCATTTATAAACTCATGCCGATCTATGATTGACAGGATTTATAAATGTACACGTTTGTAAATAAATGGAGTATTGTTGTGATAATGAAACTCGGTAATAAAATTCTTATAATATTTACCCAAATCTTTTATTTGAAATATTTACGGGATATACTTATGTTTGTAAACATTTTAGCGATAATGACATTGCTAAATTATGCATAAAATTTTATTCCAGTATATAGTTTGTAAATGAATCTAGCATAATTATGCTTACGATACGACAAAGCATATTAAAATACGTTTCATAATGTATATGAAATGAAGCACAAGACAGAAATTACTGGCTAATAAGAAAATCAATTCTAAAAAATATTGATTATTTTTTCCAAATACATTTATATAAATTCTACCGAGATATCGATATTTACTCAAACTGCATCTTAAACAGAATTTGATCATTAACTGTTAAATGAAGCGATGATCATAAATCCATTTTAATATAAGTTTATTAAATGATCGTTGTTTTATTGAACCGTTTGAAAAAAATAATAGTATGGAAGAATAAAAAAAAAAATCAATGCATATTTAGAGAGAGAAAGAGAGATTGTTGATGTAATACTTTCTTAAAGCATATTTAAATTTAATTGGATTTATTGAATTACATACCGGATCTTGATAGCACCCTCTGCCGTAAACCGTCTGTGGAATTATTACGACAGTCCAAAAAGCGACATTGCACAGTAGGAATTCCATGGCATGCACAAAGAAGTCATTGATATTCCCTGACAAACATCTTCACACTAAATTCTTTAATTGGAAGCGCTGTGTCTGAAATAATGATTTCTCCTCTCTGTCTCTCGCCTCTGAAATACCATATCAATTAGGCCAGTTTAATTATTTTTTCCCCATTTCTTTTGCCTCCGGGAGCTGTGTGAGGTGTAGCAGTTAAACGTATAATTGTAATCATCTACAGTTGTCATTCAGTATTCGCTAATAAGGATGCGATTCAAATCTCTAACACAGCCGGCGTAACCATAAAACAAGAGAGAATTGCTAAATTTATCGCATTGTTTTCTCATTCCAACTTTGAAAATTCTTATTTATGTTTCATCGACACATCAACGTTCCAAACAGAACAATGTCGTTTGTAATCAGAATATTCAAAATTCCGGACACTCTTCGATTCTTTGGCATGGGGATTTCAATACTAGGGCATTGATTCAGAATTCCATCGCTGTGTCTTTCTGTCGGTGCTATGAGGTAAACGTCAGGGTCATATGTGGTCACCGCTGTCGACGCCGATGAAGAAAAGCTCCCCCCTTGTTTACACGACATTCATTCCACGAGTTACATGCAGTATTGTAACCTGTAGTAGAAGATACGTACTGATAAAAATATACACGATAGAGCGACCTTCATTTTATCACACAAAAGGAGCGAATCGTCAACAACAATACGGAGAAAATAACAATAGATGATATTCTGTGTTGCTCTGGCCAGGTAAATCATATACTCAGTGAACTCAAAATGACATGCAATGGAAAGAAGTTGTAATGGGAATTTTGAACTACTAGTATATGTTCTTGTAATTATTACTGTTTAACTTATAATGTAAAGAATCCTCGATTGATTCTGATTTTTTGTTCGCTAAGACAGGAGGGTAACAGGTGCTTGTGAATACCCCCCTTCACACACACACACAAATATACACTCCAGGGTCCATTCTTTTTGTTGGTCTTCTCGAAAGGATCATATCCACACCATTATAAAATAGGATAACAGGTATATTTTTTGTTCTTAAGTTATGATTTTTTTTTTCTTTTTGAAAGTGGTGGGTATAAAATAAATCAAAAATATGCGTTACTAAGAATGAATGAAGACAAATGAAAATATCCTTGGACCCCGGGATGTATAGGGAGGGGGGTCTGTCTCCAAGCACCTGTGACTGTGAGTATAGTTAACAATAACATAAATTGAAGTGAATGTTAAAACTCAGAGAGAGAGAGAGATTATTTGCAATAAAAAGTCTGACTTCACCATGTTCACCTGAGTTAATTAGGTATCAGCTTTAATGAAGCTAAAAATTCTAGCTGACTGCAATTAACTCATCAATAAAAAAAATAATAAACCTATATTTATGGTAGAAACTTATACACAACGTTATTCCGTTCGTACCACTCTGCAGTTTTAGGTCAAGTGCATGCGCTTGAAATTCTACACTCATTAAAACTTCCTCGCCTCGTTTATTTTTAAATCTAAAAAAAATGTGTTTACCAATGACTCTTGATGTGTGTCAAAATATTAAATATTACATTACCTGTATTTTATTTCACCTCCTTTAAAGTGCAACTTAATCCAAAGTAATTAATTAAAATCCTTGTAAGTTGTATATTAAAAGTGAAGGCATGTTTTATGTGAGTTTATCTAACATGCCCGTTAGTTCGATGAAAAAAGACGAAGTTATGTTCCGTATTTCATCAACACAATGAATCTGAAGACGGCACTAGATCTTTTTGTGATAAAACACCACATATGAAGTCGAATAAAACATGTTTAAGATATTCTTAAAATGAAGTCAGCGATCCACTTACGCGTCTATAAGAAATCTAATATAACATCCTGGTCGTAATATTTTGGATTTTTCCTGTGACGTTTTTCCATATTACTCAATTTTACAAGGAAAAAAATAACACTAAGAAAAAAGAGTGATTTTTTTTTACATACATGTTAATTTTCTAAATTTGAAAAAAGGGGATATTTTTATTAGTCATCGTTGTTGTTAATATGTACACACAATTACGTTAAATAGTATAGTTGACACAGGAAAGAACTATGAGGTTTATCCAATGTGGATAAATCTGATTATTTTGTGCAGTTATATTCAAAGATGTGTAACTCTTGCGTGGATATTAATCAATTCCTTTTCGGTTTTTGACTGTGTGCTTCTCCTTCAAATAGATCTATATCATTATCGGTATTTAAGGTTCATTGATACTCTGATAAGAGAGATAACTCTATTGACATAAACATCTATTATTTCTTCATAGATTTGTCAGGTTGAAGTGTTTTTTTTTGTCCAATTGTGCCCAGCAAGCTATGTTATAACTGTTTTTGTGGGAACACAATAAAAGTTTGAACTTATATGGGAGAAAGCCACAGTTGGTCGAAAAAAATATATATATAAGCATTCTTAATTAGTGTATATTCACGTTTGCATACATATGTTACTGTGTAAAATACAACATTTTTGGACTTATTTTAAATTACTGTATTAATTAATTTTTCGGATTTTGTGTAAATTGTTGTCAAAACTTTTCTTATATTTCAGCAAATGTGATAAATTATATAAATTCTGCACAGCCTTAATCCCACCCGAGGCATAGTCAGAGATTGGACAGTTAACTCCTTAATTGACATCTGTTTATATTTATTGACACTTAATCTTTCATCTTTCATTCCATTCTATATTTAGAGGTCGCATCATCAAGCTAACACTAACCTCTATCCTAGGACGCATCACAAGCAAAATTTCGCTTTTTTCTCATACGCGGCGGTAAAAAGGTAACGGAAACAAATACGC